AGCCCTGCCTGTCGGGCTCCTAGAGCAGGGCAGAGGGGTTTCCTCTGCTAACATACGGCCACAGCAACCTTTCCTTTCCTCTCACCTCATCCCAGGATTCACTGTTGTTCTCTGGTGCAGGATAAAAAAATGAAGTTAACTAAGTGCTATCAAACAAGGTGGTATACAGCATGTGAATACGCAACTCTCATTTCTAGATCCTTCTCTAAGATTACATTTGGAAGAATCCTGTCTCTTTGTTGGTTGATTTTACTTTCCTTGTTGTGGGAGACAATTAACTGTTTTGAACTAAAGCTCCTGACAAAGACTCCTTAGCTTCTATATGCCCAATAAATTATGATGACCACGCATCTCTAGTGCTATGGGCAGACCCTACTTCTAGTACCTTGCTAATGGATTTGCCCAAGAGAAAATTCCAAACTCTTTATGTTTGTCAAACTGAAGGACGTATATTCCATGGGAGGTACACAAAAGAGTGATGGAGTACATACAGCCAGCAAATAAACACTGTAGATACTTAGAAAAAGGCAACTTTAGAGTCAAGTAAAACAGTTATATTATGAAATAATGCAATTTCAGTTAATGTCTACGATAATGCAGAAAAATTCAAATAAATATTAAGCTTTCTTTAGCTGCCTCCTGCTATATACCCAGGCCCCAAAGGGCCTGCCTGTTCACTCACTTTTGAAGCTAAGCATTAGAGTTTGCCAGTCATTGCCTTAAGAAATTACCTAGGTCTCTCTCAGGTTTCTATCTCTATTGTATGAGTCATGACTCTATTACACATCTATGCAACATGAAATAAACTAGAAAAACAAAACATAAGAGATATATGACAAAATGATAGGAATATTGATATTACTTCATATTCAAGTTTGCTTTCAATCCTGAAAGTAGTAATTGTGTCCTTAGTAATTTAAAGCTTAGGCCTAGCAGCCTGGGATAAATAAAGATATATAAGTTCCTACAGCAATTCCTTAAAATCTGGTACATGTACACTTTACAGCTATTATCAAAACTAACAAAGAAAACTAATCTGGTCCGCTTAATGATACATATAATTTTGCACTTGCTGTTTCCTCTGCCTGGAACACTTCTCTCCAGTTCTTCCTATCGCTGATTCCTTCTCACCCTTCACATTCACCTCTTCAGAGAGGCTTTTCCTAACCATCCCATCTGTACTTGATCTTAGCCAAAAGGCTGAGAAGTGATTAACTAACCATCTCATCCAATGTAGTCCCTATTCAGTCCCTCTATAAGTATTTTATTATCCTGTTTATTTCTTTCAAAGCAATAACCATAATTTTTAGTTATCTGGTAATTATTTACTCTTTTATTTATCACTTGTGTACCTCCTCCCAACAAAATGGACGAGTATGTTGTTTGTCTTATTTATTACCATATCCCCACCTCTAGTGAACGTCACTCAATAAATACATTTGAATGAAAGTCTGTTGCACTGCACTTAAAAGTACGGAGCAGGCATTTCTCACAGACTTTTAAAACTCTAAAAAAACCTCTAAAAAAAATTTAGACCTTGGGACTATTAAAACCTGGCTTTCTTTTCTTATAAACCTGAAGAGAAACTGAGGCTCAGAGACTCTCCCCAGATCCTTTCAGGATTATAAATTTGAAGTGGAGCCAGGAATAGTCTTCCATCGTCCCGTCTCCCACTCCAGGGAGCTTTCCAAACCAAGCTGTTGTTTCTTCTAGTCTCACTTTATTATTCCTACAGGATGCATAAACAGTGTTAAACATGTGTGAAAGCCAAATGTTTGCTTCTTTTTCCATAAACGGCCTTACAGTTGTTGCTTTGCCAGTTACAGTACAGAAACCGCACAAGACACTGTATGCCACGTGCTAAAGAGATGGAATCCCATTACAATCCAATCCTGCTCCACGGTGTGGCCTCACCTCTGCTGTTGACAAGGCCAGAGCAACTGCCATATTCACAACACAAAGTGTGGTTTTAAACCAGGAGAAGTAAACGCTATATGCACTGAAGTCTCACAAATCCATAAGCTAATGTAGCTAATACTTGCACACACTTCAGCAGCTATGCATTTTTTCCTCAAAGAGGTCAAGTTTAAATTCAAGTGACCAAGAGAAAAACATTCTATGAAAAGAGAAGGATTGCATAAGCAAATACATGGTGGCTTAGTTTCCTGTTGACTGTCATAGCTTGCTCACAGTCAAGAGGTAACTAAGCCACCATGTCTGAAAAAACATTCCTCCTTACAAGAAATAAGGTATCTTGAACAACTATTTAAATTTCTTTCTAACCTTCTGGACGATCTGAATATGTTGCGGTGGCTAGGTTCTCCCCTCCACGCAGCTGCGCTCTACTGCCCCACAGTTCCTAGGCCTGAGGCCATGGCTCCAAATTCACCTCCCCAGGATCCATGGACAGACGAACATGCCATTCTCTTACCCTCCAACACAATGGCCTCATCTTTCCTGAGCCAAGACATTTTTATTACTTTAAAGTTAACTGTTTCTTCTTGTGTATTTGTCCATCTAGCCTATCATTCTTGAATGCAGAGACAGAGGGCCAAGACCATGTCAGTTTGTTAATACAAGTCCCTCCACTGGTCTCTGTTTTACAACTAAACTAACAGAGTCATGTTCCTGGACATTCAATGCTGATATAAAATTCATATTTCTGCAGATTATGTTTTCACTGTGGTCAAGTTTCTTAATCATAAAAATGAAGCCCAAAGTCACTGATGCCATGTAACACTGGAAAATCGGTCTGCATGCATTCATGCCATGAAGCTCTTAACTCTGTACTTTTAAAAAAGAACAAGAGATTAATTTTTAAGCAAGATGACAGTATTTCAAATAATACAAACCCCAAGAGAAATAAATTATTAATGCCATTAGCTCCGCAATTTAGAATATTTACCCAATCGTGAGAAAAATGTTATTAGGATTTAGTGGATAACATTATATTTTTTAAAAGCTGTACCAAATGTATATATAAAGCAATACTGAGAAATAGGGAAATATTGTATTTATACCCAAGAAATGGTGCATTATTTAGCTCCCAAAGACCTCTAATAAAAACTAAAGGAGACGTAGATGACTGCAGTCCTATGTGCCTCAAATTTCTAAAAGGTCCCTTTAATTATAGTCATAAATAGTCAAAAAACTCAAATAGTGTGCATCGTCAACAATTGCATGGCAGACAGACATTTCTAGTGACATTTTTAAAAAATTCAGACATTTTTAAGCAGTCAAAATGAAGCTATGTGCTTACTGCTTTGTAGTAAAATCAGAGATACACTTACCCTTTACATGAATAAAAAATAAATTCTAGATAGTATTTAACTATTCTAAGACTCTGAAAAGTTTTTCCACTCTTACATTAGCACATGGGTTTCAAGTGCACTGATTACTACAAAAACAAACTCCTATTCCATTCAAGCTACTGTCGAGAGGAATTTAGACAGCAGCGTAAAAAGTTATTTGTGATTTAAATGGACATTTTAAAATAGTACTTTTTAAAAATAACACAATATTAACTCACTAAAAGTAAATTATTTTGCTAAAGCAAAATTCTCTTTAATCTTTGCACTGATGTGTTACTCTGGAAATGCTAACATTGCCAGACATACGCAGATGCTCGAAGTGTTTAAAAATGACTTTCACATAGAACGGGCTCACAATTAGTTGGGGCTTTGGTCTCAGCAAGAAAGTAACAGCATCACACTATTGTGCTGCATACATATAAAGTCAAGTCCAGCCATATGTGGTTAAAACAGTGACCAGCTTCTGCATAGTGTTCATTCTATTATTTCAGGAAGGCAACAATGTTCCACAGAAATGGTAGGAGATGTGCGGACAGACTCTCAAACATTTGTGTATGACATACATCAATAAAGGGTTGTATGTGTTTAGCATTTTTTCAAATATGAAAAATAACTTGCCTAATATAAATTAGTGTCTCCATTTAAGCTACCAATTAATACAGAGGACAAAAAAAGGTCATGAGGAAACAAGACCAATTTGGGAAATGTGAACTGACCTGGCTGTTGTTGAAACAAAGTATTTTGAAATGTCTGCTTTTTTCTCATCATTTACACCCTGCAAATTGCTTACCCTAGTCAGACTGTGAAGATTATATATCCTGCCTGGGAATTATTTGTAAATCTCTACATGATTTCTTCTCCAAAAATAAATTCATCAACAAAAATTAACTACAAATTTTCTTCCTTGGTTTTCTGACATGGTGAAACTTGGGATTAGACACCTAATTAAACATTTTAATGAAAACAGGGAAACAAAATTATTCCCAAACTAGTATATGAAGGTGTTGATATTCTTTATAAAAATTAGCATAGAAATTAATGTAACACATGTAAATAAGGAATTTAATTTTTTACTAAGGTTATTTTTTGGACAACAGTTCACACTATGACTTTTTAATTTAATATGGAAGATCAGGGCCGGCCCTGTGGCGCACTCGGGAGAGTGCGGCGCTGGGAGTGCAGTGTCGCTCCCACCGCAGGTTCAGATCCTATATAGGAATGGCCGGTGCACTCACTGGCTGAGCGCGGTGCGGGCGACACCAAGCCAAGGGTTGCGATCCCCTTACCGGTCACGAAAAAAGACACACACACAAAAAATATATGGAAGATCAATAATGCATATATATATTTTATGCCTGAGATATTTATATATAAATACACACTTAAAAAATAAACACACATACAAAATGTTGACAACTAAGTCAAGTATATCTAATTTAGAAAGAATAAAAGAAATTATACAAATATAAGAATAGTAATTATGTGAGGATACTAGAATTATGGGGGTATTTTCCTTCAATTTTTATAGCCTTATTATATTACTTTTGAAATTAGAATATATTTATTTTAGTTTGCTTATATGCATAAAATCATGACATCACTTAGAGATATTAAATAATACTAAAATATAATTTCTAAATAAAACAATTATATCGTTTTAAAATTCAAAGAAGTATAAAATCCACATACCTGAGCCAACCTCTTTTTCCTCTTCTTCAATGTTGTTTTTGATGCTATCATATTCCTCATCGATGGTCTGGTTACCACGCATCTGAGATAAAATTCTACGGGCCTTCTGAGTCTGTCCTTTCTGAATAAGCCATCTTGGACTTTCAGGCAAAAAGAGAAAGCCAAAAAACTGTATAACTGCTGGAATTGCTGCGAGTCCCAACATGTACCTGCAATAAGAATCCACATTTTTTGTAAAATCTGGTCTGACTAGAACTGAGTATATGCTCACCACATATTTTTGTGTCTGTGCTGATCAAAATACCTCTTGGTAAACTTGTCAGAATTATTTTTTTATTATGTGTGTGTGTGTTTGCCACCAGAAAAAAGTATATTTTTATGCTATACTGAAAATTGAAAAATGAGAAAAATCTAATACTCCTTTATCTCTCACACAAATTATAATGAAAAAGATTGATAATTATGTATATACATTCTGAAAGTCACAATAATTATGTATATATATTCTGAACCAAATACATCATGCAAAACACATCACCATCCCTATCTAATATTCATATACATAATCTAATTCTGTACTTTACAATATAAAATGGGACTAAGATCAAACTCTCTGGCATCTGCTTAAAAGACACACTTTTCATTAATATAAGTGCCCAAATTTGTTTCCTTAGAGTTATTTCTGCTCTGGGAATGATTAGTTATGATTTTTTATAATTTTCTGATTTCATTTTGCCATCAAGCATCAAGATCATCATAATTAACGGAGCAGTAGAGGCCCAAAGCAAAATAAGATGGAATCAGAAGCAAGTAACCCTAATTTAAATGACTAGAAATTTAAAATGCTGCTCATGTTATCTGTCATCTTCTTTAAATGTCTATTCATAATGGCTGTCAAAACTCTATACAGCAAAAAAGCATAACATTTTAAATCCATCAGAGAAATGAAAATAGTAATATGAGAATATCAATATCAAAAATCTCTCCAAATCATTGTGATCACTGGGCTAATCTCTTAACATCTCTAGGCCTCAATATTTTTTAAATGAAGGGGTTAAATCAGACAAACTTCAAGCTCTCTTTCAAATGGAAACTTCAAAGAATCTAGGATACCTGTGTGTTTTCTGTTGATCCAAGTTCCCTGGGTATGTTCCAGGTAGATTCATGATGACAGTGCTCAAAAGGCCAACTCCACTTACATAACAGGCCGTCCTCACTGATATTTATGCCAATGAAAAGTCACCCGACTCTGTATTCTTCAAAGCTATTCTACCTTTTAAGCTATGCTAAACCCAAATTATAGCAGCTTTATAGACTCCAGAGATATATCTCACAAAATATCTAAAATTTTCCAGGCAGTTTCATTTTAGTTCCAAAAACGGTACAAGAAAAAATATAATTGTCATATGGGTGTTAAGAAGCTCTCCTCCTACAACTACATACCAAAACTACACATGGAAACAGAAAAATTAACTAAGACTTAGAAAGTAATCAAAGAGTTTATGAATGACTGACTAAATGAATCACTTAAGCCTACAGTATTAAAAGAAATCTTATTAGAAGTGTTTTATACTTTAATCCATGGGTTGTGATAATTACACCAATGCTTAATCACTCCTTCCTCTGATCACCCACAGAACACAGCTTTTAAACCTCAAATTAACTATACCTTTTTTAAACATCAATTTATGTCACTGTATTTTATAACATAATAAATTATTTACCTGTCCTACTCAATTGCATATATTTATTTAACTTTGTGTTTAGCATAGCACCTAGTAAAGTATCTTACACACAGTAGGTATTTATAAAATTATATGAAAGTTGATATAGCTACACTTTCTGTATTAACTAAACAGAAAATAACTGTTCTTCAGTCTCATAGCAATATTTTATGTGGCAACTCTTCTGGATCATTTAGCTCTGCAAACTTACTTGCACAGTAATAATTCCTTCTAACCAAACCATTCGTTATTCTAGATATAACAAGACCTTCTCTTCTAGAAGAGTCTTCAGATGAGAGCTTGAGAGACCAGCTCATACAAATGAGTATTTCTGGCCTCTTCTTACGATTTTAACTTGTACAACAAATCTGTTATTTAAATATATGTTTTATTGCTGTAAGTGAATGAAATTTCCATTCAAGTTATGTTCTCTCAAAGAATTTAAAAGAAATGGTTATCCTATATTGCCAATTATTTAAAAGAAAAGCAATAAAGGTAGACACTAAATATACTGGATTAATAAGATGAAAGTGTTTCTGTTTCATTTCTCTACACCTTTCACCATCTTTCTTTAACCAAAGCAAGATTATGAATTAAGATTTAAGGGCTGCAGAAACAGAGCCAGCTGCCTGGGGTCCTGAGATAGGAGCCGACGGCCAGCCACCAGCCACCAGCCCCCCGCCCCTCCCCCTCCCACACACCCAACATCTTAGAATGTACTTATTAGGCATGTGAGTTTCTCTGGGGTATGTGACTTATCTGCTCGTGTCCTTCACCAAATTTCTGCTTAGATTTTTCTAATTCATTTTTAAGAGTTCTTTTTGCATTAAGGATGGAAATCTTTGAGCATTAAATTTGTTCCTTATCAACTGACTTAGCTGCAAAGAAAAATTCTTTAAAAAGCACTTGAAAAGAATATAGAAACTGAGTCATTTTCAGGCCCAAAGATACCCAAAGAAAAGAGAATACAGAAAGATAATAAGGGGCTAGCCAGTTAGCTCAGTTGAATAGAGTGAAGCCTTGTAACACCAAGGTCAAGGGTTCAGTTCCCAGTGCTGGCCAGTTGCCAAAAAAAAAAGAGAGAGAGAGAGAGAGAGAAAGAAAAGCACAAATATATATCAGCTTATTTCTTAGGTGAACTGTAGAAGACAGAATACTTTAGCCCTCCAGCCTTTTGAAACCTGTAAGTCCCAAGAGTCTATGTCTGAAATTTACAATTCAATGCCCTATACCAGTGGGGAAATGGCATTCACACTCTGCTGCCAGCGTTTAAGAATATTGAGGCATCTTTCCAGAGACTAATCAAGAAAAAAATATTTTTTGTACATTTATATTCTAACACTTCTCTTCTAAAACACGGGAACTTATTTTATTACATTTTAATTACCTTTCATGATAAAAATATTTTGATAGGAATAATTTTCATGGCTTTGTAGAAATCCAGTGCACAAGATCCAGGGTAACTGTGGTATATGATGGAGAGAACATAGGAACAGATCTGGGTCTCACTTCAGCTCTGACCATATTAACCACAATGGTTACTTAACATTTTAATGCACAAGTGAGTGTTTTTCTTAAGACTGCTGTGAGAATTAAGTGAAATCATTTAGTCAGTACCTAGCAGAGAAGATGCTCAGCAAACAATGTTTCACCTCCCTGAACTCTTACCCATGCAATCAATTCAATGTAACTTTATTCCAGCTGTATCACCCACCCAAATTTTCAGCAGGTAGAACTAACCAATTTTGTTCTTGAGGGAAAATCATTCCTCTGATGATGTGCAGGCTGGAGAACAGGAAGGATAAATAAGAGGTTGCTTTGCTGTGGTACTGATGAAAAATTCAGCATGAGACTAAAAGAGCGGGATCTCTATAAACTTAGCTAAGGCACTATCAGGGACCAACCATCCAAGGAAATCAAGAATCAGATGAACGACAAAGAATATTGTCACATATTTTGGCAAACCCCAAACAAGCCCCAAATACATGAGATCTCCTTATTATACGTTAAATAAAGGGTTCTAAACCCTGGCTTCACGTTAGAATCATTCAGGGGTATTTTAAAACACACCAGTGTCCAGTCCTCCCCCCACCCCCGGCCCAGGATTGTGATTAATTGGTCTGGGCCCAGTGAATTCTATTTTCTTAAAAACTCTCCAGGTGGTGCTAATGGGTGATTGGAGCTGAGAACCATCGATCTCAATGTTTTTTTCTTTTTAAAACACATTTTTTTTCCTTTTAGAAGACCTTAATTTTTTATTTAAATATATTGATTTTATTTATTTATGGGGTACAGTTATATTTCAATACATGTATACAATCTGTGATGATCAAATTAGGGTAATTAGCACATTCATCATTGCAAAATTTAGTAATTTCTTTGTGACATGAACATTTGATCTCCTCTCTTCTAGCCACTTGATAACATGCAGTAAATTATGGTTAATTATAGATGCCTAGCTCGACTGTATACCAATAGAACTTATTTTTCCTATTTAGATGTAATTTTGTGTCCATTAACCAACCTCTCATTCTCGCCTCTCTTCCCTTCCCTTTCCTGTCTCTAGTAACCACAGCTCCACTCTCTTTCTAAAAGTTCAAATTATTATTATTATTTTGTTTACTATTATTTTTTAACTTAGTGCCCATATGTGAGTGAGAACATGCAGTACTTCTCTTTCTGTGCCTGGCTTATTTAAAAACCCAGGGAGTGAAAATAAACAACAAGCACCCATGGTCCACACCTTGAGGCAAAAGCCATTTACATCCTGGAGGCAGGACAGCACACCAAGCTGACATAAAGAGAAAGGAGGTCGACACAAGCAAAATTGCCAAACTCTCATGAATGTTAAAAATCTTTAGTATACACTTTAGCATAACAATCACTCACTCAAAGATACCTTTTTAATTTTTCTAAATTTGAAGTTAACAAATGAGCTAATCTCTGGCACAACTAGCAGTACCAGAACCGACCAGAAAACTAAGGAACGGACCTATAATGGGGAGCAATGCTTTCAGATGATATGGTTAGGCCAGCTATCAACAAAGCAGAATGATGTCACCTATGGCACCTCAATTCAAGCCTTCTTTCCAGTTCCAAAAACCAAAGCTCTGTGAATCAAAGATCCTGCATTCCTGGGTACCAGACCTCCCCATGGCTCAGCTGAGCAGACCTGCCGCAGCTGCCGTCAGATGGCCAGGGGCCCCACACAAAACCAAACAGGTTCTTCATGGAGTTGAGCATTTGCTGTCATTCTTGTCTTAAAGGAATCATATGCTCTCGCCTATGTAACTAAAGATACGTATCCCTCTAACATCAGCCATTTAAAACACAGAATTCTGCAGTTCATGGTAATCGTCCCCTTCTCTGAACTGATACCATGGATTAGCATGTTACTTATTCTTTAGTAGGTCCAGAGGGGTGATGATGATGTTTCAAATACATGAAAATCTACTCGAAAATATTCAGGCTCAGCTTGGACATGT